ACTTGAACTCCTGGTTGTGATGAAAACAATGGGGGCAATTTGTTTTCCGAGTCTGTCTGCTCGGGTGGGGTGGATGTTTCCTCTGTCACTCTGTGACGTACAAAACAGCAAAGTCACGACCACCAGATCTTTCAGTTGTGATATTTGGATCAGTTGACCCCTTTACGCGAATAAACACTTACATTTAGGGAGGAGTTACTATGTTAGTTCATTGGGTAAGGAGTTTTCTTTAAATTTTTAACCATGTTCTCGAAAATGTTTTTCTTGTGTACTCTTTTCATTGGTGAAGAGACACCAGTTTCCAAATTACCGCAGGTACAACACGAGAGCCCATATTCAGGTATTAGTTCCAAGATCGATATAATTTAACAATAAAAAACCAAATTGAAAGCACGAGCATAATATAAAAATCAAAGACTTTACATTTCTATTCATTTTTGAAGTACAAAGCAGGAGGTTTTTCCCCTACCTTAAATATAAAAATTTTAAAATACCATATATTTATTACACAAAGCAGCGGAGACAGTTCTATTGTAAATAAAAAATGTATTTATTTCGGAGAGTACGGGACATTGCGAATCAATAAAGACGTTAAAAAATAAGCCGATGTAGTTATTTTTCAAATAAGTAAAGCATTGTAAAAATAGATTCTCATTGACAGTAAACAAGCCGATCCACCTGGCGCTGCTCGCTTGAACAGCTCACAGACCCGTGATTGGCTAAACCCCCGAACAGCTCGGGCCGCGATTGGGTGAAGAGTGAGAATCGACACTCTGATTGGGTACAGCCCCACAGCGGAAGTTCCGAGAACATGTAGATACACAGGTGATGGACGTTCTTCTTGGTCCAAATACTGTACTTTAACCGTGTGTGCTGTATGAGCACGCTGGATATACAGTAACACATTCATTTTAAGAGAAGTCGCACTGAGGTCAAAACTGAATAGCAGACAAAGAGTGTCATGACATCCACAACGCTTTCACGACTCCGATAGCATGTCACGATAGGAGTGCGCGCAACACGATCACATCGCGATATCCAATGCGACTGGCGCACTGTCATGGCTCCACTGTCGCGACATTAAGTCCATATATTGCGATATGGCGTACCCCCCCCCCCCCCCAAAACGCCCACCCCCATGTCGCGACACGGAGTTCACATATCGCGATATGACAAATGTCATTGGCGCCCATGTCG